TTCAGATACTTTTGACGCTTTTGCTCCTGCAAACTGGTAAACAGGAAGTTTGCTCTCCTGCAATTTCTTTATTGAAGGTTTTGGCTGTACTTGAGGAGGAGTTTTAGTTGGACTAGATTGATTTGTTTTTTGAGCCTCAGATTCAAACTTCATCCTAACGGCACTGACTTTAGATGTTGGTTTTACATGAGCGGGAGAAGAGGGTTCAGACTCACTGGTCTTAGTTTGAGGTTTCATTTGATCCTCACTGATATGATGGAGCATGCTTTTCTGGGGACTGCTTGGTAAGCTGGAACTTTTCTTTTCGGTTGCACTACCAAACATTCTATTAACAGAAGGCTCCCTAAGTTTGCTCTTACTGCCCCCCTCTTCTGCTTTAGGTTTCTGCTGTGTTTTTTCTGGGGTACTGCAGACTGAACTAGGCCAGGACCGGGGTTCCTTCGGCTCTCGTCTCACAGGCTTTTTCTCGGGGGACTGCAACTCATCATTGAGCTTCTCCGTTTTGTCACGGAAGAACTGTGACACCTCACTGAGTTTTTCTTCAGCCTCCTTTACAGATTGATCCACCCTATCCTCATAAAGGAGCTTATCTCTGCCCCTGTCATGTTTATCCTCTGTAAATCTCATCCAAACAGCATGTTTAGGGCTGCCCTGCTCTGTGGAGTAATGCAGCACTGTCACCTTATCAAACTGAGATGGATCGTCTCTGTGCACAAACTTACCAGACTTAGGGGATCCATCTTTTGAAGACTTAGAAACAAACTCTCTTTTAGGGCTTCCATGCTGCTGACTCTCATTGCTACGACTACCACCACTCTCATCAGAAATGAGGTGGTGCTTTCTGTCAGCCATCATTGCTGAATCCTCTGTGTCAGAGTGAGACAGCGGTGATGCGTCAAGTTTTTCGGAAAGAAGCATTTTCTCAGCATACCTGTACGACTCGCCTCTGATTTCTGATAGCTCATCGTCACAATACTCTATGGATTGCTGGCTCAATAGTTTCAGGGCTTTGTAAGAATCGTCTGCTATCAGCTGGGCAGAATTTGGGCGACTGTCCTCCTCCTGTGAAAGAGGGGTGTTAACTCGAGATGTTTCTAGGAAGGAGGGCAGAGATTCTTCTGCATTAAGTTCTTCTTCTTCCCGTTGTGCCTCATCGTAATCAGTAAGTTCCCTAATTCCATGGTCCCCCTTGTACACGTAAAGCTCAGGGTGTTTCTTGGCTTCCCTGAAAATAACCTCGGTCGGCTCTGCTGCGCTGTGGCCCTTTTCGATATGAACCTCAATTATTCTTTCAACTTTGGGTTTGGATTTAATGTCTCTGTCGAGAAATCTAGGAGTCAGCTCATCACCTTTTACAGAATCCTGGTTAGCTTTGTGCTCAAAGAGGCCTGCTAGTTCTTTAGATGGGTCCCTGCCTGACTGGAAAGCTTTCATGATATCCCTAACTGACATACCTTCCTCTATCATCTCTGCACCGTCAGTGAGTTTGGGCTTGTGATAAACCATTCTAGTTGTAGTAGTGATTTGAGTTTCCTCTTTAAGACACACGCTTTTGCTCATCATTGAGTCCTCCTCTGGTATTTTCATCTGCAGGGCTTTCAGAGAGCTTGTTGAAGCTCCATCTGGCTCTATAGAAGGAAGAGCACATGCAGCCTCCCCCATGAGTAAAGGCTCAAAAGGATCATCAGGCAGCTCATAGCTCCTAATGTGGACTTCCGTCCTGGTCTCACTCACGCAGGGCGGTATGGGTGAATCGGTGAATAAAGGCTTGGGTCCTGTGCTCTCGGCACTCTGAGGAGCAGAGGGTGTTTTTTCACTCCTGGTCTCGAAGCCGCTGTCCGACAGTGGACTCTTATCCTGCTCATGGGAAAGATCCTCGGGTGACTCCAAAATAGTGTCCGTCCCCTGATACGATTCAGCAAGTTTGCTCAGGTCTTTCTCTGAGGGAGACCGGAGCATGCCGGAAACAGGTGGAGGCATCTTGAGTTTGTGCTCTTGTATCGACATGGATGGTTTAAGAACACGTTTCTGTTTCTCTTCCCCTTCCCGCTTTGCCTCCTCCTCGTACCTACACTTTAACTCAGCCATTCTGGAAAGTGAGCTAGCGCCCATGTCATTTGTTAAAAATTCTATTACTTTAGCCAACTCTAACTCTTTGCTCGACATGGACTGCTGCTTGAGGAGGAGTGTATGTTCATCAAAAGGAGGGTAATGGTCTGCGAGGGAATTACTTTGTGCCTCCTCAATCTCGTCTTTGGAAAACTCTTCCCATTCGTCCTCTGAGGCTCTTTGCTTACCTGCAACGGCCTTCCCTTCACTCTTGACATCTTTCTTTAATATATTACTTACTTTCACTAAATCTTCCTTCACTTTCTCCACTAGACTAAAAGGTTCCTCATCCTCTAACTTGGCCTCTTTTGGAGTGCCAGTATGTGATGTTTGAACGGTTTTAGCTGCTGTCTGTGTGTCTGTCTGTAGGATGGCCGTCATTCTGATCAGGTCCTTCTTCATGTCCGCCACATCTTTTAGTATCTCCTGGTTGGTAGTTCCAGTTGGGTGGATGATGGGTGGTGTGATGAATGGAGGGGATTTCATTTGGGAGTTTATTTTTGATGAGGTAACGCAGGAAGACATAGAGGAAGAGGAAAAAGCATGAGAAGAATCAGGCAGCGACATTTTTAGGGATCCGGGCCCTGGTTTGGCAGATGTCTCTGGAATGACGTTGATTAACGAAAACACAGGTACTGTCACCGTGTTAGAAGGAACCACCGAGCTGGAGGAGGCGGCAACTGATTTGAGAGGCCGGTAAGCACCGCTTGTTGCTGCAGACTTACGCGGGGAAGAAAGAGATCTAAGAGTGCTGTAGTTCGACGCAGAATACGAGTCTATAGCTTCATTTATGGCTGCGCTGACACCAGTGGTCGCTGCCTGGGTGGTGGCCTGGATCCTCTCTTGAAGGCTGCTACTTCTCTCGGAGAGATGGCGAGAAGAAGGAGAGGATGGCGTGGAGGAGGAGGATGGGTATTTTACAGGAGAGACCGATCCGTTCCTCATGGACAACTCTGAGGAAGCGATGGTTGTCTGCCCAGTTGAGGAGAGCGACGAGATCGACGACCTCCCTCCTCTGGATGATAGTGTTGAATCTACAGAGGTTTTCAAAGACGACATGTTGGACGTGCTTTTAACAGAAGAAAGGTGAGGTGCGCTGGCATCTGTTGTAATTGTGGACCCAAGGGAAGTTTTATAAAACCCCTTTGGCGATGCTGGAGCAGTAATAGAGACTGATGGCCTCTCTGATACAGAACCATTAGGTATCGAGTGCAGTGGGGAAGTCCTTGATGTGTATGCTGAAGCAAGGTTTTTGATAGATAATGGATCTGTTGCAGGTTTATATGGGCTTCCAGGGGACACAACGCTGGCAGACCCCTGGACAGGGTACTGACCCAGCTGGACAACTGTCTTTATGGGTGAGGGCATAGTTCTATAAGACCTGATGGGGGATGAAGACATTAAGTCACTGACAGATTTTACTGGGGAAGACTCCAAGGTGGCATCCATTGTTGCGGCGCATGCGGGCGATGGGGAGGACAGGGGCCAGGACGTTTTCAATGGAGAAGCAGCTGGTGAGCCTGCCGGTGAATCGGTACAGGTGAGGGGACCCCCCACTCCGACGGGCCTTGTTTGGCCAGGGACGGTAATAGGAGCAGTCGACCATGGTGAGTAAGTTCGGGTTGGAAAGACAGGTTTGTGAGGGTAACCAGCAGGCAGTGTTCTTGCTGTTGTGCTTCGCTCAACTGCAGTTTCTTCAGATGGATTTGTAAAAATAATGAAGGATGGGGAAAAAGAATAATAAAAAGGAATGTGGAATAGTAAAGATAACAAAATGTATGGTGGGGAAGGAAAAGAAATACAAAATGTGAGAGAAAAAAAAAAGAGATCAGAGGAGGAAGAGTTTATCAGTGACGCAGTCCTGGTATCAAGGAAGGAAAAATAGCAGTTTTATGAAGTGCTTACATATGAGTTTTGGTTGAAGATGAAGTTAGGAAAAGAAAACGGTTCTGTTCCAGTGTGATTCAAGATGAGGATATAACGCAAACAGCGAAAATTAGGAATAAACTAAACAAAGCACATTGAGCAGCAAAGTATAATTTAAAAGGCAATGGCATAGACTAACAAATGAGAAACAGAAGAATGGTAGGACAAATGCAGCAGGATCAACACAAAAACTATTTTTCTCTTTGGACTTCAAATGTTCAAAAATCAGCGCATGGATTCTGGCTGTAATTTCAATCCGCTTTTTTAAGTGCCTTTTATCTGTTTGGTCCAAAAATTACTCAATGACAGATCTCCCAAAGACAATCTAGACACAACTGAGCCAACGGCCTCAGAGGATTCCATTTTCTCATTTCTAATATAAAACCAAATATGACAAAATGTTTGCAAGATCAATATGAACTGGTGACAAGCACAACTTTAAAATAAGACATCCTAAAAGAAAGCCAAACTCAAGACCTCCTAACATGCATTTCTGTCCCACAAAAAGCTGCTACATCATCGCAAAACAGCTATAAACTCAGAGGGGACAAAGGAAAAAAAGAACATTTCATTTTGCTTTGACAGCCCTCCCAAATGCGTAAAACATTGAGTTGGTAAGTCAAAGAAAATTCGGAATGTTGCTGCACTTGGACTTATAAAACTCGGCAGTGCAAATCAACCAAACAAACCCAGAGGAAGAACAACTCACAACGTGGGCAAGCACAGCACAAAAACCACTCATTGACCCATGCAAAAATATGTACCATGTCGTAAACAAGCATGTGGACGGTGCATGTTATGTAGGATGAGAAGTATGCATGTATTACATTAAGTAATTCACATCGGTCTACATATCGTTCACGCATTTAACTAAAATGGTTAATAAACTTTGAACTTTAAATTTATCCAGCAAAAACTGCCATTAATATACTCATCAATTGGTTAGTGAAAATGTCAAAACTCACTCAGTGCAGGCTCGGCCAGATAGCTGTAGCGCTTACGTAAGGCTAGGGATGCAAAGGTATGACGTCGCTCTGGCTTTTCAGTCTGCAACAATAGCAAACAACACAAGAACCTATTAGTCCTAAGCCCCCTACATTGTGCGATGCGGCCAATTGACCAACATTTGGACATTATAAATGTCAAATTAAAGCAAACCCAATGGTGTGCATTAGTTTGTGTTAAAGTCAAACAAAGCCCATATTTAACTGTTTCATAAAGGGCCAGGAAATTCTCCTTTAAGAGTTTTCGCTGTGCTTCAATATTCTTTTCTTTGTAAGTACAGACATCACTAACAAGGAGTTTTACAATGCCATGCTAGCCAAATTAACGTAAGTTAGTCATGATAAGGCTGAAAACTCTAATTGATAAGAGAGTTAAGTCTTAACTTAAGTACAATATCAATAAAATCAATAAATCTCACTCGTATCACAGAGCGGAAGGGGTAAGGATAGCACATAAAATAAATTTTTTTTTTCCATATCTACATTGAAGCATGCAAAATTGAGCAGCTAAAGATTCTTTGAACAAGAACAGCTTGTATTGTCCTTGTAGAAGCGGAAATGATAATGCTAATATGAAGCGGGGCAGCTATAGTTGTAGCGCAGAGGGCAGCGAATGGTGGGGAGGGTGCGGTTTACCTCATCCTCGGCATCTGACTCCATTTCCTGGTTCCCAAGATGCATTGCAGAAACAGGGGGAGTAACATAATGGAAAGCAGGGGGGGAAAAGAAACATCAGGGTGTGAAAAAGGAGTGATTGACTGAAGCTCCAATCAAGACGAGAAGCCACTTTAGCAAAAACAAAACACCGACTGAACAAACACCAAAAAAAGAAAAGAGACACCGAGCAGCAAATGAGTTCAAGCCACAGAAAGCCAGCCTTACAATCAGAAACAAGCCTTTTGCACAAAAGCCCTCAGCCAAAAGCATGTCATCCAAATCAAATGGTAGGAAGGAACAATATGAAACAGCCAATGACAAGAATCCACTGCAGAGCTGTCCGCTCAACATAGAGAGAAGCTTAAAACAGATAAAAGACACAGTGGCGGCGGTCTGGCCGAAGACTCTCTGTCTTTCATCTATCCGTTATCGGGAGGAGGAGAAGGAGGGGGGGCGAAAAAACCCTGACCGCGAGTATGGTTGTGGAGATGAAAAAACAAAGAATGGTGAGTTCTTGCCACCTTACCTTCTTCACGGCAGGAAGTGTGATGTTCAGGTTGCACACGGCGGTTTGGGGGAGGCCTTTGGTGGTCTTACACTCCTTGAGGAACGTAAGGCGGCCACACGGCTCCTGGCCGGGGTCTCTCACCTAGAGAGAGGACATTGCTTCTTTATGCACCACGTCTCACCACCGCAGAGCTACTGCACACTTTTCTTTTAACAATAGGGATATATGGACAATGTCTTCGATCCTGATTTCGGATTGCCATGAGGATATAACTTGTTTCAAATACAGCATAATTGGACTAAGACAATAGTTTGATTTATCAACACTGTGTTCCCTTAGAAGAATTCTTATCAATTAAGACAGTTGTTTATCATTATTATTATTATTATTATCATATTACAATCCAGCCATAATCCATGTGCACATAAATGTGCATGTTCTTTGTTAAAGACAACGGTATACACATATAAAGTATATTTTACACAGAAGGATAATGTAAAAACTGTAATTAGAAGGTAAAGCCTAGTAGGTAACAAAAGAAAAGAAGACGTTAAGGTCCACCAAGAGGGGGTTTATAGAAAAACACATTTCAAAGCAGCCTTTGGAGATTTGCTGACTGACTGTACAACATGTTCTTATACTTTACTTATTCAAGCTTCCGTCCACCTTGTTTATTTCCCTGTTCATATCCACAATACTGTGTATTTTTACTTTATGTATAAGCTTTTCAGACATCTAATTCGGCTTTTGTTGGACAGACTGCAAAACCACATTTATTCGTAACCCGACACACGTGGATCCCAGAAACCGTGAATCTAGTTGGTGAGCAGCAACAACAGCTCTCACCAGATGATGCCAGAGGATTGATTGTGCGTAATGTGATTAATGGGCCGATCGATGACATCTGGTTGTTCATTGGCGAGTAGCGGGAACTAGGTTAGCCCCTGAGGTCACTGGGTGAGAGCGGGGCAGCAAAAGGGGAATAGAACAACGATGCAGTAATTTAACAGCGACACAATTGTCCCAGCTGCCTTTTCTCCAGATGTGTGGCCCTCTCCTGTACTAGTATCGGTAGGTCCTTGTACAGACTTTTAAAAATGGAATAAGACACACACACGCCGAGGGTTGCATGTTTTATTGGAGTGTATTGATGTCTGGTTTCCGCCGGATGTTGTTGCTGCCTCAGCTAGAATTGATTGGAGGCGGGGCCTGTAGAGACAAACACAAACCTCCGTCCGGCTAGCTGGTGTCATCTCATCGATCAACGTGCTTCTTGTGCTTTACATCACACAAAACGGTGTTCACAGTGTTTTTGATAACATGTGACATCCGTGTTAAAAGTCTCTTACCTCTGTCGGGTCTCCTCTGCAGGGCGGTCGGGCTAATAGACTCCAAATGGTACCTGAGCATGAATTTAAAGTTCTGGGAAGTACCATGTAGTAACAAGTACAGGGGGGCAGTTTAATCTCCAGTTCAGGCTTATTTCATTCCAGCAGCAATTTGATTTTTTTAGGTTCAGCACCTTTCTGATGTTTTATAAGGCATCTTCTGGTTTGTTCCTTGTGATGTGTTTCTGTATGAGTAAACTTGTTGTCACGCGAGGGTCCGGGTTCCCTCGACTCTACCAGAGTGATAGATAAGATCGTTGTGTTTTATTTGTAAATTGTGGGTTGAATAAACACCTGGTTGTTCTGCACCCGGGGCTCAAGCTTCCTGCTTCGGAAAGCCCTGCCCCTGCGTGTGGTAACCGCAACGCGACTTAGGAGTCTTCCACGTCCACATTCACGCTGAAGAAAGAGGTCGTTGGAAGCAATAGCGAGGACGAGAACGAAGGCAGTACCTTGACACAGAAGGGTAGACGGTTCTCCTTGAAGGCGTAGAAGTTGAGAACTAACTGCTGACCACCTTTAGTCAGAGGAGCCAGGTTTCCGTAGCAGTCCACATAGATGGGCCTTCCCTCCAGAACCTGAGAGAGCACATCACAGAGGTAAGGACCCACGGCGAGGTCTGGAAGTGGCCCGTAACCCTCAGAATAATAGTTCCCTCAGCAATTATTTACAACACAGCTTCCTGTGTCTTTACAGGAGAAGTCTACATTTGCAGGAGTTTGCTCAGACCACTGCAGCGCTGACATTTAAACTCCTCACTGTTGCCCTTCTGGAAACGTTACCATCACTCTAATGCAGTGGTAAATGGGTGCACGTGAAGGCACCCAGGGGGTACGTGAGATCTTTTTTTTTTTTAGATAAATATACAATTGGCATCTCTCCAAATCCTTTAAAAATAGTTTAACTTCATATATTTTATATTCAGTAAACTATTCAATTTTATTATCCCAAAAACGCATAGTCTCCCCCGCATCAGAATGCTTTGACCCAACCTGGCACACGCCCCCTGTCATCACCTGTCAATCACGGCTGCCTGGAAAGCTCAAAAAGGAATCGTGGTTGAAAACACGTCCTCGAGGCGCAACCCACCCACAGCTTAGTGTTGTTTCAGTGTTAACAGTTCAAGAAATCAGACACTGATGGCTTAGAAGAAATATTATCCGTATAATATAATGGGTTGTGAACCACTGCTCTAAGGCACTTGTATTAACCAGCTATTGTATTCAAACCAACAGTTTAAAAAAATATAAAACATATTCTACATGTGCTGCACATGTGAACTGAAAAAACAAGACAAAAAGTCTCCGTTAGATTAAACAACATTTAATTTAGTTACTGCATTCCATGGACAAGAGCTCTGCGCACATGTGCTTTCCACACAAAGCTGGTTGCCTGCTCGTCTCTTTGTGTCGGCGCTACATTAGTCTGCCGTTGATAAGCGGTGATCGACATGGGATTTACGTACGTGGCAATCTATTAAAACCCTAAAAGAGGCTCGATTACAAATCAGTTTTTAAATTAAGCTTCAAAAATGAACCTCACACTCTGAAGGGAACATAAAATATAACAACCAACTTATATTCATGTACCTCTATGTCTTTGCTCCTGGCAACCTCCTCGAAGTTCTCCTGCTGCTCCAGGGTCTTGTCCACCTTGTCATCCGTCATACAGAAGCACCTCAGTCTGGACTCCACTGGGTCGTTCGTCTTAGCAAACACCACAAACTTGGCCATGTAGGGAACGCAGATGAGCTCCCTGTACAGCTGCATGGCCAGACCCACCGTCTCCGGGATCTGGTGGCAGTCGGCTAACCAGAACCTGCATGAATAGGAAAAAAAAGGAAAAAGACAGCGGTGAACATTTCAGACAAATGGAAAACAGCTGAGAATAACTACAGCGTTGCACGCGGTCACGTCTCACCTGGCAGAGACGTTGGTGGTGAAGGAGACGCAGTCGTTGACGAAGGTCAGAGGAGTTGTGCCAGTGATGTCTTCCCACTGTGCCGGCGACGTGCCACCTGGGAGACGAAACAGAAAGATCCTCTTTTCATACGATTCATTTTTCTACAACCCATGTACAGGAACCACATAATCTGCCCTACCATCCACGAGACAGCCGTTTGTGCGCCACCTGCACATATATACCAATCCTCAAACATTCAACATCTAAATAAATGATCAGTCTTTCCAAAAAAAAGTAATAATAATCACAAATCAGTCAAGAAGATCGTTGCACAAGTAACCATCAGGCAGACACACACCTGTAATGCTGCAGAGGAGGCGGAGACATGGAGTAGAGTCTCCTTTGTAGCCGTTGGTGAGCCCCTCCCCTGAGAGAGGCGGGATCGGGATTGTCATGGTGATGGGCTTGTGAAACTTTCTCCGCCTGGGCTCCACGGTAACGATGGGGCTGAAGGTTGCTCGGTTACCGAGGATTTTCTTGACATTGTCGTCCGGTACCGGCTGGGCCTAGGAGACGAGAGAGCAGGGATGTGTGTTTAATGAGTGCGTGGGTTTGTGTACCTACATGTACATTTGTGTGTAATTATCAGTAGCTTCTGGCGCTGCGGTCAAAAACCCGCGCGACGGAAGAAGGAAAAAATACAATTTCTCATCTCACCTGCAGTCCAACTTTGATCTTCTTGGTTAAGGCGCCCTCGGGGAAGGAAGCTTGAACCAACGGGACGCTCCGGCTGCACAGAGTCCCGCCCTCTGGTCCCATCTGATTGGTCTCCTGCCTGATTCGAGACACGACGGCAAAGTACTGTGGGAAGTCCTTGGTGATGATCCGGCAGATTCTCTTCCTCTCCAGCTCCTCAGCACTGTCTAGTTCTACAGGGAACGCAAATACATAAATAACACGTAAATGATAGAATTCACTTTCCAAACCTATAGAGGCGGTTCAGTCTGTAGGACAACCAGATATGTTGATTATGCTTGCCTTGTCAGACTTTCCTGTTCCCCGCTGTATTTTACTAGAAGTTAAATAAAGACTTTACCTTCATCCATCCCACCCAGGAGCTGATTGAGGTTGTCGCTCTTGTAGTCGTACAGGTGCTCCTTCCAGGTCTCTCCGTTCTCGCTGCGCAGCAGGATCAGCTCCCTCTCCTGGCCTCGCATTGAGCCAAAATGTGGGATCTCCACTATCACGGGCCTGGCAGGGTACATGAAGTATGGCTTAATTTATGATATACATTTAAGACTGAAATCCAGAAAACAGAGGTTTAGTTCTCTGTAAATACATTTATAGTTAAATGTAATCCAATGCAAACTAAAATAAATAGAATAGATAAGTGAAATACTAACAAAGAGGGACATTGTCAGAAACACACTGCACAAGTATGGATGAGCTCTGGTTCCGCTCATGACAGCGCTGCCTCCTAATGACGTGACTGTGGTCGTGCTGCAGCTCGATGGGACGTCTCGCGTCATCCATTGGCATGATTTGACAGAAGCCACGTGAGGCGGAATGATGAGTGAGGGGTGAAAGCTGCACAGCCCTTTCCTCAAACAAGGCATGATGGCAACACACAAGGAGAGCTGGATGAACGCGCTCTGGTCTGATGAGGAGCGTTTTTCCCCTCTGAGTACAGCGCACCAAACGGGACAGAGAGGAACTCTATTCATCAATCATCCACAAGATGATTGTCCATCAGGTTCTGCATGAACAGTAGTATTTTCAGACAAAAGCACAGATGAATCCAGGTTTAAGCGGAGGTAGAGAAGCCACCTGCGTGGGATTTAATTTTTGACCGAGAACTCTGCCCAAGAGATTAATTAACAAGTAACTAGGTTAATGTTATATACTGAAGAAAAGAGTATTGCACTTTTCAACGTTCAGATTCCACCAGCTTCTCTAAAAGGAAAAACGGAGCCAAGTCACAACCTTCTGCTAAATGGCAGCAACTCACGTTTCGGTGGTTGCCGACTAATGGCTGTGAAAGAGTCAACAATGACTTATGTTCCCGATGGTGCCGCGATCTCTTTTTATAGGTAACGGTAATTTAAAGCGTAGACGGCGCTGCCGAGAGAATGACAACAACTTTGACTGCCGCTCACTCGGTCTGACTACGAGTTATGAGAATATGCTTGAAACGATCTCAAACGCAGAATTATATTTTAATGAGTTGCTTAAATTACCAGGAGAGTATTTGATCAAGATGCTAGGTGACAAATCCCCAACAATCCCCATAACAACCGAAGAACAGCGCGTTTACTGCCGAGTGACGGTCAGCACTGAGTCCTGAGCCCGGATGTTTCACTGTGTGGATCTGCACAACTTTGCACAACGCGTTCTTCTAACGTCTCTTGAAATAAATTACACACAAATATTGTGGGATGACATAAGAACTGGTTGTGAGGAGATGAAGTAAAATAACAGCGGCCATGAGAAGCGGTATGATGTGCGGCTTGAGGAGGAAAAGGCTCATGCCCAACAAGCGCAGTTCAGTCCAAACAGCCAATCCAAACCTTTACTTTCAGTGAGCTGAAAGCTTCTGAAATAAAAATAAGTTCAATGGTCTCTAAGTGAAAGTGGCTGCAAAAGTCACCGTAATGGATTCAAAGTTATACTGGGTAGTTTTAGGAAGAATTGTCTCACTCCTAGTGAAAAAGCTGTAGTCTCTCCCTAAGAATGTTATTGTGGATAAACTTGGTGGATAAACGCTGTGATGGATCCACCAATCAGCTTACTTTCATTACAACTACTAATCAATAACAAAACTAGTTTGTCTCCCTTTCGAAACGTCCACAGCGTCATCGATTTCTTCCCAAAACTACTTTGCGGTTTCCTAACAAATCAACAGCGGTGGGAAAAATAAATCACATCCATCCAGCATGAGGCAGCCTTCGGTCACGTTGTTTCCCTCGAGGGAGGTGGGACGTACAGGGGCGTAGCGGGCGGGCGGGCGGGGGGGGGGTCGGGGTGCTACGTTTGGTTCCTACCCAACAAATCTAGTTCCTCTGGGTCCCAGCTGAAGCACTGGACTGACCAGGCTCTCGCCTTCATTAAGGGCTGGCAGCTTTCGGGGAAGGTGTAGTTTACTGCGTCCGCAAGATCATGAAACACCCACGCATGATTGCACACGCACACACACACACACACGCGCGCACACGCACACACACACACACACACACACACACGTAAAGTCAGTATAAACAGACGCCCCTGGGTTGCATCAGTAAAAACATGTATCTTCTGTCTATTACTCATCAGTGACACTGACAATAAAAGTTTGCCGGTTGATGTGTTATTATATAAATAAAAGTAGTCACAGACAAATACTTGATCAGGTCAAAAATACAAAAGGTATTAGTGTTAAAATATGCTCAGCATTCTCCTTTTGAAGAATAACTCTTTTCAAAAATATTTCATTATAATTCATAATGTATCGACGTGCAATTTACATCAGTGCAGCTTTTTTCTTTTTTAAGGAGAAAAAGTATAAAAAATGTTCTTTTCAATAGATTTCAGGCGTTTGATTAGTAATTCCTCATTTATTTTTTGTTGGCTTGATCAAATGTATGTTCATAATACAGATCCTTTAAAATGTCTGTATTATGATCAGTCTGCAAGTTTATCCTGCACTTTTGGACACGTATTTATTCCTCACACCAATTTGTCTAAAATGTTTTTAATTAGCTCCAATAGTCATCAGCTTTAGACCGATGAACAACGATAAGCTGAAATCAACTTCAGAACCATCTCCGTCAAACATTCAGACATATAAGCTGTATTTTGTTTACACACTTTTCGAACACTTTGCCGAAGCAGGAACTTGATGCCTGAGGACGAGCACACTGCAGCGATTACACTGTAACTGCAAATCAAGCAGCCGGTATTCCACCTAAACATGCACGTCCACTCGCTCCACACGACAGTGGCGTCAACGCGGATGGCTGGAGATGGCGATGGCGAGAAGCGGAAGGGAGGAGATGTCCGAGTGGTCCGACTAAAGTCAATAAGCAAACAAAGCGAGGCTTTGGCGACAACGCCGCATCTTACCCGAGGAACTGGGCCCCCGCGGGGCCGACCTCCACCAGCCGGCTGGCCAGGCCTTCTCCCTCCACCATCGGGGGAGGCGATGCCAGCTTGTGCCTCTTGACCAGTCGGCAGGTGATCCTGGTGGGCGCCGTGCACTTCCTGGGCGGGATGATGATGCGCATGCCGTTGTGGCGGCTTCCTCTCATGGAGCCGCCCCTGGCGTCGACCATGAAGCTGACCAGGAACCTGGCGGAGCGGGAGGGGAAAAAGAAAAGAGGAAAGAGACAAAGAGCGATGGGAGAGAGAGAGAGAGAGAGAAAGAGGGGAGAGAAGAAGTGAATGGGAGATAAGCGTGTTGGGAGGAAAAGAGATGAGAGGGTGTAAAGAAAACAGAATGGAACGAGAAGGAAATACACGTTGATTAAATGGCAGTATTGATGGAGAGCGAGGAGCTTCGCTGAAGTCCCGTCTCATGCTTTGATCCTCAAAAACACACAAAAAAGCAAAACCAAAAGTGTGGGGAAAAAGAGCTATAAAGAAAGGTGAAGCACTTTCTGTGTTGCTGTGGCTGCGCAGTGACATTTCTTTTCAAAAAAGATGTCGTTATGTTGACAGAAAATATTCTTGAGTGGGTTTTATTTTGTGTGGATGAAGAAGCCAAGACGCCAAAACACGAGCCTCAAGTGTGTTTTATCCGTGTTAGAAGGTATTGTATTGATAACACGTGCGCACACACACACACAAACTTCACACCATGCTATTTGGTGAAACAAGGTGCCATGTTAGTTTCAATTCCTTTTGAACAATTGTCATTTTGCTTTAACTCATCCTCTGAAAAGTAGGATTGAGTCTAAAGAAAATGTAAATATTCACTCGGACTCAAATACGTGAACACACACGTTATCTGTGATTGCAGTTGATCTACCTGGAGCAGGTTGGCTAATAATTTGAGAAAAAAACCTTCAAATCTGGCTGCACAGCTTTAAATTCTACCAAAAACTCATTCAGATCCCTTCAAATAAAAAAGAACGACCACAAGCCCACAATAAATCCAAATCTGTAACAACACAGTTCATGAGTGAGGAGGGCAGACACGGACGTTATGAGGTGAACGCAGTCGGGGGGGTTAAAAGCCACGAAAACAAGGCGGTGGAGGTGACAAAAGAGGGCGACCAGTCACGGTCAATCACCTGCTGTCGTACTGCGGGAGCGGAGAGGAAAAACTGCAGGATGGACGACAAAGCAGCGCAGGAGCGACAGGTCAACAACAGAGCTTCGTCACCGCGGAAACACCAGCGAGAAGACGACGTGGGGATAGCTCCGCCCTACGGGGAGGATCCCCTCGCTCGCTTTCCGGCGCAGTGAGTTAGGATGGTTTCACCAAACTAGTTAACCGGTTTGGTGAAAACAGACTCAGGTCCGTTTGGGCCTGTGAGACAGCTGTCAATCAAGCACCCAACAACCGAACCAAAGATTAAACCCAAGAGCTTGACTCATAATAATTAATACAGTTCAGGTGTACAACCATGAATCAACACAATAACTGGGCAATATACACATGTGACCCCCCCCCCCCCTCCCCTCGAGGGTCCTGATGACAAATCCCCAGAACTAGAGACGCCAATTCACCGGACATAGTTTTTACCCAACGTATACGCCAGAATGTGACCCAGCGTATTTCCCACACAGCTTCCACACGTTGGCCGGGTCACATGTGCTGCTGCGAGGGCCGTGACTGAGCCGTACCTGCAGCGTCGGGGGAGCTTTGGCCTTAGATTTGATTAAATAGAGAATAAAAACTAGTCTCATCTCCCTCAGATATGCTTTCCGGGTACCGTGTTATTGTACAGTTATCACAGAAATTAAGGGAAATGTCCATTTTTGTTTTAAAACACCAAACAGTCAGAGACGGGGAGGAAGGGTGGGAAGGTGGGAAAAGAAAATGAGAAGGGGAAGACGGACGGAGGATTCGCGACAGGTAACAAAAAACAAGCTCAGTGTCTCGTGTCCGTCCTTGTTGATTCATCTGCGCTCACCCAGAGTGTATCGGAGAGGAGACCAGGTTGACATTATCCAGTACGTCTGCAGTCCAGCTGTATCTCCTCAGGGAGTCGCTGTCAAAGTCCTTCGCCACCGCCAAATGCTGAGGAGGAGACAGCAGGGTCATTGTGCACGAGAGGAAAGAAGAGATAAGAAGGTCCTGAGAGGACGTCTGATCAAAAGAAATCAATGCGGTGCAGAACGTCTACAGGTCGTAATACGGAGCCATGCATTTGAATAACCACGAGAAATGAAGAGGATGCAACCTACGCTGATGAAGGATAAACATTTGTGTCTCATAGAAATCATATCAAGAAAACAAAAAGCTGTAAATATCAATCAATCTACATCCATCAGATGAAAATGGTGAATGACATTTGATCCCATGCACTTGAGCATCTACCTTGTTGTGTTGCTCTACAATGAAAGACCTTTCCTTACAGAGCATCTGGAGCGGCGTGAGAAGAGACCAGCTGTTATTTAGCAGATGCTGCATTCACAGATCGTACACTCAAACACGCTTCAGACTTACAGTTACACACTAGCAGACGCCTCCTGACCAAAGGGGTGAAGCCATGTGGCCTGTTGTTAATCAATATGTTCGTTTCCTCAGAGCCTTTGGGGGGGGGGGGGGGTGGGGGGGGGGGGGG